ACATATCTTATTTTGGTTCTTCATGTATCCGAGTGAGGATTAGTGTCAGTAAATCGCCACAATTTCCAGTAAATATACAATTTAAATAAACTTTTTTCAAGAAACAAACATTAATTCAGCATGGGGATTATGCAGGGTCCTCAGTCAGAAACACGAAGCACCAAATAAGCTATCCTGTCCCCATATACCTGTGGTTTAAAGCTATAAATATCTATCAGTAACTTACTTGTAACCGATTACCCTCCATTTCTCTCAAAATGAAAAGACATCTCTTTTCACTTCATTATCTTTTTCCTGACGTTGAGCTTCCAAATTAAGAAAAGCATCATTCATTTCCTTTAAAGTTGAAGTGAATTTTTCAATGGCTGAATCCACAGCTTTCTCAGTTTTATTTTTCTTTGGTTTTTGCTTGCTAGATGTGGCTTCTCTTTTCCGTTTTCTGCTTTTAGGAGTGGAACTACTCGATCTATCTGAAAAAATGGAAAAAAAATGTTGTGATTCCAGTCTATGATAGTCCTGGGAAAATAAGAGTTCTTGAGTGTTTCTGTTTTTGCAGTAATAGTTTGGAAACACGGCTATTGTTGGTTACACAATTTTCAACGATATTTGTTGAGATAAAGTCTTTGAAGTGCCTTGCTGATACTTTCCGTTTGGATCTCACTGGCTTAAGATAAGGTTGAGGTGGTATGGCCGGTACCAACCCCTCCACCACTTTGAACAAGCAGCCATATTAAAATACCAAAATTGAACCTAGTCTACTATAAAAATGTCATATTACCTGTTTCAACATCGGCATCAAATGAACAATTTTCTTCTCTAACCGACCCTGAAAAATGAAAACATGAAAAACTTAGTACTTGAAAATATGATATAATATATAAAACTTTGGGCTTATATTAACTCTGTCCATGAAGAAAAGTTTTTTTTTCTATTTTTGCCATTAATTTCATCAGGATAGAGTACTATTAGGCTATCAGCTTGAGAATTATACTGATGCTTAGTTTTTTTGACATCAAAGGCCTATTGGGTGGCTGAAAATGACACTCACAAAAAAGTCAATTGAATGAAAATGTTTTTCAATATGAAGAGTCCTACCGTCTAATATTTCTTCTTCTTCTTCATGGGCACTTCTTGCTTCACCATGTTCATGTTCACTACTACTGCTGTTACCAATATTCATCATATCATCATCTTGATCTTCGTTTCCATCATCTTGATCTTTGTTTCCATCATCTTCTTCCAGTGTTTGCAGAAGAATTTGCGGTCTAGAAGTAGGTCTCGAGCCTAAAACCCGGTCCATAACCTCAAAAAATTCCCAGTTCTTCCTGGAATTTCCCGACTTGTTGTTGTTGTCGAGGATTGACCGGTATTTTAATTTCAGTTTTCGAACCTTGTCTTGACATTGTTTACCGTCCCTGGCCTCAAAACCTTTTTCATTCAAATTTTCCGCTAGCTTGGCGAAAATTTTGTGATTATGTCTAGCACCCTCCAATAAAGCCTGAATTTTCTCGTCAGCCCATAGGCTTATTAATGCTTGGGTTTCGTCGGAAGACCATACAATACCTCGAGCAGCCATATTGCATTCCGTCAGAAAACCACGTTGAAAGGTCAAGGTTGAATATTCAATACGCATGCGCAACTATCTGTTCTCGGAACGGATACCGTTTACACTACAAAAATTTATCTATTCCGTTCTGAGAACTGTTCCGAGACCACCTCGCCTCGGTAGTCTGAAATTGGAACTGTTCTCAGAACGCTCGACCGTTTACACTACGAATTTTTCAGCCGTTTCAAATTATAAAATTTATCCGTTCTCAGAACAGTTCCGAGAACGGATAAATTTTATAAAGTAAACGGGACTTAAGTGATAGTAATAAAAGACGAACATTCTCATGATAAGAACACACACACACATTATGTGGAATGTGATCAAATAGTTTTACATTTACGGGTCGCAAGTCACAAAATTTACTGTGTCCTATCTTTGATAATGCATGAGTGGAAGAAAACAATCTGTAAGCTCCACTCAGAGACATTAACATGAACCTTACTTGTTCGGTTCTCTTCCGTCTGATGCCTTCATCATCCAACTCTCTAATGATGACTCTATCCTTCTTGCCTAGTGCTTGCCACGAGACCTCGTCCGTTAGATAGAAGTCGTGCACTTCTTTTAAGGTGTCTTCATGGATACCAGAATGACGTCTTGAACACTCTTTTCCATCATCAGACTTCTGAATAGACAGTCCAGCGGATTTTGATAACAAAAAGTCTCTTCCGTGGAGACTTGGGTAAAGATAGATTTATCCTTTTCACAGCTTTACCACACGCTTGGACAGATCCATATGGTGAATGTTCACAATTAGGCCTAGTGGTGGAAGCTACTAATTGTTCATTCTTTTTGCTATCCATGTGTTTCTGAACTCTCTCTCTTTCATTCATGCGAAACTCTTCTCTCTCCTCATCTGTCATTATTTCAATTTTCTTGGCTCTGTAAATTGCTTTTCTCACACTATCTCAAGCATGTTATTGTATGCTTCTTTAGATGCCTTTAATTTTGCCCTCCTTCTGGCTTGTCTCTCCCGTGCAGTAAGAGCCATATTTCCAAATTAGTAGCCTACTTCAAGATTAACAAAAGTGTTTAAAAAAGTGTAGGCTTAGGCCTTTGACTACTGTTCTATTAATAGTCTACATTGAGAGGACCTCAGAGGAAGCACCTATTTTAACTTGGCCTTCAATGTATTGTTTGATTGAAGGTGTGTAAATAGAATTTCTGTGAATGTGAACAGAGGAAAAATTAAATCTCCTTCAAGTTGAATTTAGTGAAAAATTCGAAATTGTAATTTTGTAAATAATTTTTCAGTTGTATTAAAAACAATACCCAAAATATTACTTTTTGACTGTAATTCATCTTTTAATGTACACCATTGTATTCACTATTATTTATATTCACAATTCAATGTGATAAGACAAATATATAAACATATCCAGCTCTAACCAAATATTCAATTTTTTTTTTGTACTATCATATTCATTTAAAATTGACAGTAATCAGGTACAAAAACACACACAAGGTGTTTTCAAAATGATCAAAACCAAAAATATTTACTTGAGGAATATCTTATTTTATCTTTGAAGAAGTGTTTAGTTCATATTTTCCATTAAAGCTCAATATATCTGTAATAATAAGGCAAAATGTGCGTGACGGACGTATGTGACGGACGTACATACCTCTGATAAGTACGTCCGTCACACACATATTGAGGGTGTTGTGTAAATTCTCATAACTGTTTTGGCAAAATAATAAGTTAGACCATGTTATTGATTAAATAAATTTTCTTCAATTTAACTGTGATATTTTTTCATAAAAATTTAAAAAACTTGTAGTTTTCGTGATGGACGTACACAGCATTGCGTCATCGAACAAATCAAATTATAATTTTCTATTAAGTAATAAGACAGGACAAGATTTTGTTTTTACTAGTAAGAATATGTCATGAATATTTCATTTAAACTGTTAAATTTCAAAATTATATAGTTTATACAGATTTGTGAACTATTTTATATACAGGTGGGTCAATCATTGTTTGCAAATGTTAATTAGGTACCCTCACATTGTAAACTTATCAGTAATGTCAAGATTGATACGGGTTCATATGTTTATTTGTATCGACATGTTTGTGTATCTATTAATAGCATAGAACGGTTACACTTCCGGTTGACCCTATAAATATTGGTCCACCGGTGTTGGGTCATAAATTTCATATGTTAACACACATATGTAAATGTCGCGTATCAACGAATGTGAATATTATTTTTAAAGTTTTATTTTCCATAACTAGAGACACTCCCATTACAAAAAATTATGTATTATATTATTAAAACTCATTTTGATTTTTTACCCCTTGGTTTACATTTAAATGGAATTGCCCTATGAGCATCAATTGTTTTTTGTTTTGGTGGCTTATCCATGTTCGCAATATTCCTGGGCAAGTTTGGTTTTGTTGTTTCTGACAATTTGATATCTTTTGACCTCACTTCTACAGTTCGGGACATTAAAGTTTTCCTGTACGAATGATTTGTTTTTGTCGGGGATTGGTTGAGCAACCCAGGTCTTGCATCTCTTTGGAAATACTTGGTTGAACTTTAATGCACCCTCTGTTGGACCTCTTGAAGATGTGGCTTGTTTTCTACCTGTGTTATAGTTGTGGTCTAAGGCAGCTAGCTGAGTCCTGGCCACCATTCCATCATATGAAAAATGTTGACGTTTGGGACAATACTTTAACATCATTGAATGGTATACCTCTAAATCACCAGTGTGGCAAAACAAAGTCAGCTTTTCCAATGATTTTGTAATGGAATTGTCAAAGATAATATCCTGAATTGCATGATAGGCTGGGGATGAAGGTTTCGACCATTTCTTCTTCTTTTGTTCCATTTCAGTGAGTGGTTGATGGGCACAAGCATGGAACTGATTGTTACATTCGAAATGGTGAACATTCACACAATGTTGCAAGACTGATCTCCATTTCTCTTTCAGTAATTCTAGATTTCCATCACATGAAGCCACACTCCACCAAAAATGCTTTTTGATTGAGCCAATCCAATGCCACAAAACTGCACAATCCGTAGTCTTCTCTGTTAGTTTCTTGATTATGGCTTTAGAGACATGCCAGACATCAAATTGGTGAATAATTTGAGGAAACTTCTTTCTCATCATGCACCCAACTTGAATATGTCGATCAGTAGCAAGGACATTAATCAAAAGATTAGCGTTAACTCTCTGCAGAAAGCGGGATAGTTCTTCCTTTACCATATTTGTTGACTTATAGTTCACTTCACCTACATGAATTACATCAAAGTCTACCAATTTACCAGACTCACTTTCAAGTAAAGAGTAAGTTCAATACTTTGCACTGAATCCAGGACTATCACATCTACCATCACCTGACAAGGTCAGTGGTTTTCCATGTAGTTGTCCTTGCACCAACTGTTTCTCATTCAACCAGGCTTCATTTACAATTTGGAAAAGGCTAGATTGGATTTTGTGGTAAGTAGAAAGTCCGAAAAAATTCAGGTTCAAGGTTTCTGCAAAACTTGATATCTGTGTCACAGAACAACCGGTATACAATATAGAGGCAGCAACTAAAAGATTTCCAGCTGGCATTTTAGATATAAAAGGTTGAGAGTTCCATGATATACATGACCAGATATACAAGTGCTTTTTACTTTTAACAATGTTCCAGTTGTGGATTTTTCCAAATGTATAACTGGACCACCACACTCTCGACACGTCTGAAAAAGCTCCATTAGAGAAGAGTGAAATATTTCCACTAAATGCACAACTGAATATCTTATATATCCTTCTGTTTTGATTGAAATGTAAATATAAATCAATCTGAACTGAAGTCCATTGCATATAATTCTGAGCCCCAACATGGAAGTACAATACTATAAATAAAAATTTTCATCATTGAATGGAAAAGCTGTTATTGATTGTGACAAAACTCTGTTTATTTACTTACGACTTTCCTATGTTTTGACTGCAACCTCGACTCTGTGTGAGTTCTCCTTTTGCAAGGCTGTTTATTTACAATAACAGGTCCAGTAGTAGGAAAATTATAGATGCTAGGAACGGCATCTTCTCTCAATTTACGTGGTCGGGTCAACTTTAATAATTCAGCTTGCAGGTCACGAACGAAACTGTCATCCGTAAAATGTTCTGAACAAATACTCGAATGTTTCGTCAGAATATAATTTTTCCGTTTCAAGAAAACAATCCATTTTTTCTGTATTTCGTTTCTTCTCGATCCGATTTTAAAATAACTGACGCTTTCACTTTTCCTTGAGTCATTGTTGCACCCAAAAACGGCACATAAAACCAAGATAATACGGGTAAATAATCGTATTATTGTTGATAAACAAAGGAAGATAGATAATGACAAAAAGGTTTGTTCTACTGTGACGTCACGTACTGATTTTAGCGACCATCCTAGTCTTTAACACAGAAGAGTAAATAAAGGGCAAGTAATTCCGATATGACCAAAAATTAATTATTTTAAAAATTAATTAAAAAAAAAACTGCTGGGTGAAAAATTGATTAAATTATGATATACAATATACAAATATTTCACTGACAACATTTTTTTACCATCATGGTCTATTCCTTTAATGCTTTGCTTACGAATGGAATAAAAGCTCTTTTTTGAAGTTCTTAAAATATTTTTTTCGCCATGTTAGAGATCCTCTATTTCATCTCTTAACCTTCTTTCTTTAAATTATCAAAAAAGTTTACGTATTCCTTACTGTCATTTTTTTTAGGTCCACCTGACAGTGAAACACATTCTGATTGAGTGCAAGCATCTCAAACCTTGCTGGATCTTTACATTATTTATTGCACAACCGTCTCTTTATGTCAAGTGAAAAATAGGAACCAGTAAAATACCGAATAGCTAGTTCTGACTGAGCGCCACAGTTTCCATGTGAACACTGATCTCATCTGGTATATTTATATCGTTGACTGCAAATATTTTAATGGAGGTACTAAAAACTGAAACCTTTCATATTTCGAATGTCATGTCGTTTGGACATTAAAAATATGAAGTATAATATTTTCAGACCCCTTCAAAAGTTGTTTTTGGTTTAATAATTCTTTTAATCATTTTTAATAATGACCATAATAAAAATATAAGGGATACTAACAAAATACTAGGTTAAAAACTATGGGTGTATTTTGCTAAATTCCTCCATGTGCCATTTGGTCATAAAAATCGTGTGCCCAATCTAATCCTCAATTCCAATTATTTAAAAAAAGATGCTCAAATAATAAAATTCCCATTAACCTCAAAGTCCCAAACGGTCTTCACTCCCATCAACCCTCCAATATAGAATAATCAATAATACAAAATTGAAAACACACATCGAGAGTCCTGAACAATAATATAGCACGGCATCATAGCCACGGTTATTTTTAGGGTATAGGTAGTCTCGAAAATATCTCAACCAATGTAATATCCACCAAGAAAATTATCCACCAGTTGGAAAGAATCCACCAATGAAAATATAATATCCATCAAGTTATAATATCCAACATTTAAAATGGTGGATATTTTCTAACTAGTGGATGTTAATACTTTGTGGCTATTGAATTTTGTATCCTTATTTTCTGTAAACAAAGCTATCACGCAAAGTTGAGACAAACTTATGGGGAAAATTGCACTTCGCAGAATCATATGACATATTTGGTTCGATCTTTATTTACAGGAATGACTTCGGCTTCAAGTCGATAAGAGGCTACCACTTTAAACGTGGCTTTGATTTCGAAAGAATCATTTTATTAGTCATTGGTAATGGTAAATTATGAAATATGAATGAAAGTGCCGTTATGATCTAAAAGGGGAATATTTACTACCACCATTATTTTACTGTCCTCAATTAATGAAATGCAATTTAGAATCCGATATTAGTGCCACAAATTTTTCGTTGCATCTTTTGGGAGTTTAACAATGATTTTGATTTTCTAACAATAGTTTGCGTTGACTTCCGGGTGTGAGGATACTAGGCGACAAATAAAGAATATTCACTTGCAATTTTATCTGTTCGCCCCTTTATAACATTTGTTTGATATCGTCCAAAACCTAATTTCATTCTCAAGAATAAATGAATAGAACCTTTTTGCCGAACTAAGATAGGTGATGAAAAAAAAAACTCAACCCTCCAAGCTATTTAAGTCAAGTGGTAGAGAAGCTCAAAATTGCGAAAAGTGTCTTTTTTTAGAAGGCCGTGTAACCGGAAGTAGACATCAGGCACCAATTATACATGAAACTTTCTTGTTATAAGAAAACACTATTTTTATTGACATTCACTTTTTTTCACTTCCACTATACTATATTCACTAGTATGGATTTTACTATATTCACTATGACCGATGTTATTATATTCACTAGAGGTATTCACTATTTTCCTAAGTGATATTATTAGGTGCATTATGACAGGATCTCCACTGTCCTGACGTAATTGGTGGCTGGTTCTGGCGAATACTGCCGACGTGGTGGTGGTGTTTCTCGTGGCAGGCTTAATGTTGTCATCACTATGTTCCTTGGTTGTGGCTTTGGCTTTCTTCGGAATTTATCCACCAATGCGTACAGAGACTCTTTGGTTTCAGTACAACTCGTTCGCCCTACAGTGTCCCTAGCACGTTTGACCTTCTTATATATTTTAACAATTTTAAAACTTATGATAAAGGTAATGGCGAGGAATAAACAAGCTCCGAGGAGATAAAATATCCAATGTACCTGAGGACGAAACGCATTTTCTAACAAAGGGTGTAAATTAGACAGTTCTAATTCGCCCATGGCTTTTTGTAATTTTGGATTGTTTTGATTAATTCGGGCCAGGGTAGAAATTGTTAATATTGTAGGTAAATTTTGAGTGAATGAATATTCTTTATCTTGTTTTGAAATATTATACAGAAACTTAGCAATATTGTTTTTCTTGCCAACAATCTGTCTAACATTAAAATTGGAAAGTTCTTATAGGTAAAATGGTAACGTGAAATACGACGAATGAGCGGAAAATCCCTTTATTAAGGTTTTATTGTTTATTCCTCGATGTAAGGCAATGTTATTTAATCTGTGGAGTTTTTCCTTAGTTCTAGGCCGGTGTTGTCTTCAACTGTTGGTTGACTTCAGTAGTAGTTGATTCAATAGGTGGTTGCAAGACTGGACTTCACGTTGTATATTTTGGACGACCGCTTTGCAAGGTTTTCTTGTTAGTGAAAAAAAAAATCCTGGTCTTTGGTTCCACTCTAGTCACGACACCACTCTAGACCAGGAGCCCAGAGGGGTCAGCCTAGCTGAAAAACTAACTAATTCTTATATGTATCACTATTCTCCATGGACATTCCCTTTAAAGGAAATGGACGTCTGCCGGGCATGCATTGGTGGATGTGGCCAGGAGAGGTCAAAGAAGAGTACCATTAAGACCCGCTTGTCAAATAACTAATAGAAACTAGTACCAACGTGGTCAGCATACAGCCATATACTATAAATGACTATTGCCAGACATTTCCAGTGGTGGACTGTGTCCGCCAGACAATGATATCCGATACAAGAAAATTGAGCTAGATCAGCTTATGAGCTAACTGCATGAAACCTTTTGTGAAATCTTCGTCTTTAACATGTGTATCAAGAATGACCACTGCCAGACATTTTCTGTGGTGGAAAGCCCCTGCCAGACGCCCCCATGTGACCCCACCCTCTAAAATGACCTAGGTTAGCCCATGAGCTAACTGCATGAAACCTTTTTTAAAATGTTTCTCTTTTCCTCATGTATAGAGAGTGAACACTGCCAGACATTTTCTGTGGTGGAAAGCCCCTGCCAGACGCCCCAAGTGACCCCAACCCCAAACACTAACAAGTTAAAATTATGTTTATGAATATACTGAATATATCAAAAAAGTTATCACATTCACTAGCATGGATTAACTAAACCTTTTTGATATACTAATTGGATACTCTTTGTTTTTTTTAATGTGAGCGTTCTGATTTAATGTCTTTCTATTCATGAACATTATGAGAAAATGTAAAGTTGTAAGTAATAAATATAGTGCTTCTATCCTTCATCTTGGTCTGAATCTGAATCCTCACTCCACGGTTCATCATCCGAATCACTCAATTGAACAGTTTCGGACCCACTACCAGTGATAATCGTTGTTTCATCAGTGTCATTGTCTACCACTCTGTTGCCACCTTGATGATTTGAGAACAGAGTACCAGGAATCGCAGGCCCATGGAACCAGATTGGTTTCAGGAGTGTGTCATTGACAAACCATCCGTATTCAGTTGCTGACAAACCATCTCCTGGACAAGCTTTTGTAACCGGCTGATCTTCATCTCTAGCGTTTTACGAGTGGGTGGAAGCAATGCACAGTCGATACGTTCGACGTTTGCCAGCGGATTATCCTGAAAGACAACTAAATATGTCATTAGAAATAAGCATTTCATAACTGCTATGACAATAAGTTTAAATTTAGCTGGCAGGTAATTATATCAATTTCAGTTAATACCTTTTGAACTTTGCCTGTCATTTGCATCAATTTATTGTAACGTGCTTCATCAATGTCTCGAGTCTGACTTTGGGCAAACATGCAGCAGACAAATTCTGATATGACATCAAAATCAACCGTGTGACGTGCATCTCCCATGCTGATAAATGCTTCAACAAAACGACCACTCTCGTCTTTCTCTATGATATCTAGGGCCTTTGTCTTGCCCTTCCTATAAAACAAAAAACAAATTTATACATATGTCCACTTCTAATTGAGTATCACATGTATATTGAATAACAACAATACTATCAATGCTTAGTATCTTGCTAGTCTGCTATCTATACCTGAACACATTGTGTGTTTTTTACATCCAACTGTCCTTGCAAAGCAAATAGGTTCATTATCAATAATAAAATATGTGAAATTGGAACGAGAATGTGAAAATAGTGCTTAGTATTATATTTTGACAATAATATGTATAGCCTAACCTGTAAAAGGCTGATGTGAAGTCACACCCAGTGAAGGCATGGTATTCCAGAATTGCGGTGCTCAAGAATATCAGCAATGTTTTTTACATTGATATATCTTCTGCTGTTTCCCATCCCACAGTCCATGATGATATTGACCATGCATCGTACTTCTGGGCGTTTCTGCCCAAGTGCACCAATCAGTATCACTAAGACATCAGTGTCTGATGCTCTCACAATGATATTGTCCGCCGTGATATTTGCAACATGAAATGCAATTAGTGTGTCGGCCTCTTCATGGTCACCTTGAAGTTCTTTTGGGACGTATTGGAAGCACTCTACGCCATATGAAACAACCAGAGTCTTTCCCCTGACGATGTTCCAATAGTGATCTTTTCCCCATCCCCTCGTAGTCTCCTCTCACTGTCTTTGATGGAATTCTCTACATATTTGTCAAGACAAACGTGTGCTTCATTTGCATCACCTGAACAGACTGCTGACAATATTGTCCTAGCAATTGATCCATAGGATGCGCCTATGTTTGTTTGTGTGAGGATCGAATGGAGAAGAAGGCCACCATCATAGACATGAACATAATTCCTTGGAAGCTCCGACTCTGTGACAGGTTCAGTCTGTAGGGACTCCAGTTTCTTCAGAAGTACCGATTTATTAGTTTTAACATGGGTCCCATCACAATGTGCAAGCGATAATGGGTATGTTGTAATTGGGTAGGAGAGAACATTTTTTAGATCAAAGTTTGTCTCCTCTGCAACAACAATAATCATACGTATAAACATATCCCATAGGCTTTCAGCGTTGGTCTTTGCTCCCTGTAAGGCCGGTGACTTGGTTTCCTTCTTGACATTTTCAGCAGCAAAATTTTGTACTCGTGTACGTTTGACTGGTTGAAGAAAGCGATGGTTGTTGCTGTCCCATTCATGTAAGAATTTTCCCCTTGCAACCTCACCCATGTTCAGTGTATTCAGCAGATATGATGCAGTGTCCTTTGCTGCTGCTTGACCTATGGCAATATTGACCAAGCAACCTGAAGTTTCACTTTTGAAAGGGTTGCAAAATTCATCAATTTTTGCACTCAATGCTGCCATTTGACTGTTGTCCTTTTTTATTCTTGAAGGACGACACTGGGCAGCCGCAGTTTCTCCTAGTTCCAGCCCAGCGAATGTTCTTAACTCAGTTACAGCCATAGCTCTCTGTGTCATGCTTAACGACCACCTTCGCATGGCATTTTCAGAGTTTCTGAATGCGACAATCCCTTTCATTTGAGATGCTGCATCACGGTTCACAGACTGTTCTAAAGACAGGTCAACAGCTGATCTGCTGTAATCTTTGGTAGTACGTCTGACCGAAAATGCACTCTTTTCCAAAATCTCAATCAACTTAGGGTCACATGATTTCAGCTTCTGAAGGAAAAGCGTTCCCCATCTGGCATAGTTAAGACGATTGAGGCTGAAGAATACACCAAGTATCATTGGAAACACATTGATATAACCATTGACATCATTTGTCTTCACGCATCTCTGCAACTCTCTGTGCAGACGATTGATGAGGAAGATGTAAGTTGCCCAGAATTGAGCTGTTGGTCCTTGGCTACCATCAATAATCATCTGGAAGAATTCCTCATACTTCTCAAGATGCTGCAATACAACTGGATCTAAAAGATGCACTTCTGTCTGGCTTGCATTTGAAGGTAATGTGTGCATCACTAGTACGACTGACCCATATTCTTCTTCGGGTAAGTCCAGAAGAAAACGTTGATATAGCTTCTGCTCCAAGACATTTGCCAGCAATTCATTCTCTTTGACTAGAGCATTGTTAGTTGGCGATCTAGATATAGGGTCCATGTAGCAAATTCGTTGCATCGGTAAGACATCCTTGATGTACATGCTGATAAATCCAGCATACAGTGGTGTGTTGCCCTCAAACAATTTCCAAAGCCAACAAAGATCCAGTGCTTTCATTGCCAGTTTTACTTTCCTATGGATTACATTTGGTTCTGTAGATTCAGATGTAATCACATTGGATGTTTCAGTCGTATATCTAGATTCAGCTGTAATTGCGTTGAAAGATTCAGACATATTAGCACTCGTGACAAACATAGCCTTATTGAGAGGTTCCCTAAATGGGGGTATCTCTCGTTGACTTCCAACAAACCTTCGTCGGTTCCTCCCATCTCGTAATTCTATTGGAATGTTATTTGTTTCTCTGTCATTCTGCAAAATATTCTGGTATGTATGACCGACATTGGCGTGTAATGTTTCTTTGCCATCTAATGTTTCTATGTTGGCATCATTGTTGTCCCAGACACAGGCAGTTGCTAAACCTGGTTAAAGTCGAATACCATCAGGAGTGTCACGTTCATCAGATTCTTCTGAATATGAAAATTCTGTCTCCAGACCTTTTGTTTCACTGTAACTGATGCTGTGTCCCGCTCTGTTTAAAATCTGCATGGATAGCTTGGATCCGGTGAGAGATGCTAAGCCAAGACCCTAAGCAATGTGCTTCCATGGTTTAACTGTACCACGAGAAACATTGTAAATTGCATCAGAAGCCATTGCAGTCACCTTGCGATCTATTATCCTTGAATGAGCCTTGGGGACTTTTTGTCAATCCACAGGGGAGACTCCTGAAAAAGAGATCCAACTGCTCTGGTTTTCCACCACAGAAAATGTCTGGCAGTGGTCATTCTTGATACACGAAACAATGACGAACATTTTACAAAAGGTTTCATGCGGTTAGCTCATGGGCTAACCTAGGTTATTTTAGGGGTGGGGTCATTTGGGGGCGTCTGCCAGGGGTTTTCCACCACAGAAAATGTCTGGCAGTGGTCATTCTTGATACACATGTTAAAGACGAAGATTTCACAAAAGGTTTCATGCAGTTAGCTCATAAGCTGATCTAGCTCAATTTTCGTGTATCGGATATCATTGTCTGGCGGACACAGTCCACCACTGGAAATGTCTGACAATAGTCATTTATAGTATATGGCTGTATGCTGACTACTTTGGTAGTAGTTTCTATTAGTTATTTGACAAGCTGAACTAGCCTATCTTAATTGTACTCTTCTTTGACCTCTCCTGGCCACACCCACCAATGCATGCCCGGCAGACGTCCATTTCCTTTAAAGGTAATGTCCATGGAGAATAGTGATACATATAAGAATTGGTTCGTTTTTCAGCTAGGCTGACCCCTCTGGGCCCCTGCTCTATATAACGCTCAAACAGGTCAATAACTTTAATACCCGGTTGAAGAAATCTTTTATCCTTATAAGCTGGTATTTTACGACAGTAGTGGGAATCAACGCACGGAATATTGATTGATGTCTTAAGATAATAAACAGTATCATTAGACATTTTCTGAGTAGGTCCTGATCTTGTTTTCTCCTTACATGGTATATCAGCAACATCATGTACATCATTGGAACCATCTTTAACTTTTAGACTTAACCAGTCTGATATTGTTCTTTCAGCAATACCCAAAGTCGAACAGAACATTGATTTACATGCCTGAAGTATGGTCCCATTTTGCATCCTTAGAGTGTATCGATAGCTGGTAGCCCTCTTATTGGAAGCTGATTTTTTCTGTTTAATATCAATCGATGCTGCCAGTGCCCTTACAACAGACTATCTTTCAGTCCAAGATGTCATTTCCCACAATGATGCAAAAATTCTATCTGTCTACTTCCGAAAATTTATTACAGTTTCTCAAGTTTGATTTTCTACAAAAGTTTGATTCACATCTAGGTCCCATTTTCCTGACTTCATTCTCTATGCCTCGTCTGCTTGTATTTTGCTCTCCTTTCAGCCGTTTAACCTTTGACATATTTAGTTTCCATGTTTTGGGCTCAAGCTCTCTCAGGGATGTTGAGGAAATTAATGGAAGTGAGGTTTTTATAGACCAGGAGGGATAGTGAAATGAAGAAATATTGAAAAGCGCTGAAATTGTATAGAAAATGTGGTCAATTAGAGGGATACATGTTAATTATTAAGCGTTGCACTTACTTTGTCCACTTAGTTAAGCTCTTGTAGTTTGACATCTTTATTAGAGATATCTTTTGCATCTTTCATGGTGTTGTCTTCGTTTGAAGACGGTGGTATTCCCTTTTCCACTAAATCCGGTTTATTCTTACTTGTTGACTTTGATTGACATATTTCTATATATTTATAGAGTTGTAAATAAAGTCCCTTCCAGCAGTACTTGGTGCGAATCAAAGTGTAACACCTGTCTATACTACTGAGTCCATTATCGTCATGGTATTGTCTAATTATTCCTTCTGTCGAGTGCTTTGGGATATATAGTCTCAAATTAGGATCTCCATCTTGATCAGATATGCAATATAAAACATCAGCAAACATCATGCCGGTTTTATTATTCCATTTTGAAAATCAGTCTTAATCTTTTGTAAATTTTCATCGTTTGCCTGTTCTACTATTATATTTAAATCATCCTGACAGTTCTCAATGTTTAATGATCAGTCATTATCACTTAATGTACAGTCCAATCAACGAATTGACTTGGGCCAAGTCTGTTTCAGTTTATAGCATTTATTTCAAATGACTTATTTTGATCATCGTCATCAGTCAGGTTGTCAAAACAAACCCTTAGGTACTCTCAACAATAAGTCGGCTATTGAATTACTTTTACCAGGGATGTACTCATTATATGCAATTATGCAATTATACCCAGAAATCCCTAATGTCCATAACTGACTTTGTTCGTTTTGAATAGGCAATTCCAATAGATACTTTAAAGGTTGGTGATCTGTTCGGATTATGAATTCAGCTCTATGTAAATATTAATCTAAGCTTTGTAAACTATAATGAATTTGCATAGCATTCTTTTAAAACTGTAGAATACTTCACTTGTGTGGAATTTAATTTATTCTTTTTCTGCGAATCGGATATTTTTCAGGTCCGGCCATGTTGCTTCCACATGTGCGTCTAGGTAGCTTTGATACCACACCCTTTCTAGTTTGGTACGCAATAAGCTTCATTCCGTCGCCCGAAATGGATGTCAATATCGCATACTTTTCAATGGAATGAGTACCTTCCCTAAATTTTTTTGGTAGTCTCGCCATTTGTAGAAATTGAATTGGTCAATCTACTAATTTGGTTGGCTTCGGTTTCCATGCTTTCAAGTCAACTCTCAAGAAAGAAAAATAAAGCGTACTTGTTGGAAAATCCTCCTTGTTGCTTTTTCTCTTCTAAATCAATCCAGGTTTCCTCTTCTAAATGATACTGATCAAGAATCCTGAGAACCAGGCACCAGAAGAACCGTGTATAACAAAACGGATTTTTTAAAGTAGTGATCGTCCAAAAGACCTAAAGTTCTTTCGTTGGTTAACAATTTATTATATGTAGCTAAAATATAAGATGTACTTCGATGTGGATTATATGAACTATTAAAATACCAAATAGCTAGTTCTGACTGAGCGCCACAGTTTCCAAGTGAACACTAATCTCATCTAACCTGTCGAGGTATATTTATAACATAGGCTGCAAACCATATTTGACGTCCCCCAAAATCTTTAAATGGAGGTACTAACAACTGAAACCTTTCATATTTCCAATATCTTACTGTGTTATAGTGGGTACTAAAAATATGTAGTATAATATTTTCAGACTCCCTACGTTGTTTTTGGTCTAATAATCTTTTAATCATTTTTATGAACATAATAAAAGTATAAGGGACACTAGCAAAATACTGGGTTAATAACAGGCGAACTATGGGCTGATCCTGTAGAAGTGTATTTTGTTACTCTGTGGTGTTATGGTGAAATCTTAGTACTTAGTTTCTCTTGGCATGAATGGATATTTGCTAGCTTTTAGCTTCAAATTGTCGTCCCAAATTGTTGTCCCGAACAAATATAAAAAAAGTCATCTAGATACGCTACAGCAAAATCCTGTAAGACTTGTCCAACCAATTGCATAAAAACTTCTGGTACATTACCAATCCGAACGGCATCACACTGAAATAAAACAGACCCCTATGGCACACAAATGCCGTTTTCCCTTTACCGATTGCATGCATCTGCTAATGCCAATAGCCTGCTCTAAGATCTATTAGGCTAAAGAAAGAAGTTGCACGTAATTGTGCTAATAGATCATCTATGAATGGTAGTAAATAAAGAGTTGAATTTGGTTACCTTGTTGAGCGCTCGACAATCTACCCAAAACCTCTTTGTACTATTCTTTTGTCAACGACTACAATTGGGAAACTGAATGGACTTATATAGAGTGCAATAATACTTGCACAGCCTTCCTTTAGTTTAGAGGTGTCCGATAAGGTCGTAATTTTATAAAGAGTGATCACCCATGTAAATTGTCATCTTCACAGTGTCTGTCTGTCCTTGTCCCATTTCAATTGAAGCAAACATGTCGATATATTTAGTCAGCAGGTCTATCACATGTGACGTGTGTCCGGGACATCTATATCTTAAACCCTTTTCAGTCCAAGAGCTTATCAATTATAAGTCCGCCTTGCCAGTAGAACACATTCTGATTGAGTGCAAGCATCTCAAACCTTTCAGATCCCAGCACTACCGTGCTGGATCTTTACATCAATTATTTTAAAAAATAATTTTTTAAAAAAGCCGGTCTTTATTTTAAATTTTAAATAGATTAATCATTGTTTGTTTTAAATATTTTTTTGTTTTTAATACCACCATGTGGTGTATGACCTGTAATATTGTTTTTAGTGTTTTTTTTTTTGTAGTCATTAAATTACTGTTTCTGTGATATGGTTTTTATCGTTTTTTGGTTTTTTTTTGTCACTATGTGACCTTTCTGTGATATTGATAGGTGTTTTATTTTTTTAGTTTTTTCATTATTTTAACGTATTCTGAAGCTATATAGCCCGTTTGGTGCTGATGCTCCTTAATGAATTTCATTTCATTTCATTTATCAATTATAAAATAATTTATTGTAGCCTTAAAATCATTTATTTGGCTGACAATCAGAACATATCCCCCGAAAAATGGTATTTTCAAAGTTGCCATGGTTACAGCAATTGGGTAATTTGCATAATATATTAACCAAGTGAATTATAATTATGTAGGTCTATAATTGTTAACTTTTATAAACTTTAAGAAACATAAACAAAGAAGGACAAACTTGTCATTGAATTAATAATGACTCAAATAAATCTGAAATTTTCAAGATGAAAACAAACAATGGAATACTTTTTCAATACTTGACAGTAAATCATCAAATATACAACACCGGAAGAAACACCATGATATTCATTGAAACAGTTTTTTTTTAAATGTTTAGACATAAGTATATGTTACATGTGCTACAAATAGAGTGAGGCCTCTATTCTTAAGCTTCATTTCGACTGCACATTTCACATCGACCTCGCTTTTTTGACTTTTTTGTACTCCCTTATTTTGTAAACGCACATCATTCTTAACAGAGAGTGTCCCTCGTGTCCGTTTGTGGACAATGTGTGTTGGTGACAGTGTCATTGGCCTCCCTACACTAGGTTTACGAGCTTTTATTATCAAAAACTTGGACACAGATCTTCTGAATTCTAACTCAGAAATTACAGCATCGTTCAGTTTATTGAAAGCAATCATTGCATTCACAAGAGCCCTATCTATCAAACCAAAGAAAAGTCGATGCCACCATTTCTTACATTTTCTGTCATGGCCATGAATAGAGAATAGCATGTCAGTCTTGTCGACTCCTCCCATGTAAGCGTTGTAATCCTTAACTGCAACTGGGAAGGCGACAGCTAATCTGGACCACCTTTTGAGTACGAGTAACTGTAGTTGCATCTGTACCATGGAAATTTGATGCAAAATGAACACATTTGTTGTCTTTCCACTTGAAATAACTTATTTCTGGCGCCTTAGACACCCAGTGCTGACTCTCGCCTCGCCTAAGTTGGTTGTCGGCAATTGATCCAACAGGAAGACCACATCTATTGGCTCTTACAGTACCACATGCTCTGATGTTTTGAGTTGACAATTTTCAAGTAACGGGACGGATGTGAAATTGTTGTCGAAGTTAACTTCGTGATATCTTCCGTCTATTACCCTTGTAAAATCCAGAACAACTTTCTCACCAAGACCAAACCCATCAAATCCCAAATCATTCTTACCCTGATAGATATCGAAAAATATGCCCATCTGTGTCCGATAGCATCCATAGTTTATAACCCTTTCGATTGACTTCATAGGATTATACTGTTTAATGCTGTGTCGTCCCTTGAAACGGACCATACTTTTATCATACTCAGTCTTCTTGAGATATTGTAGAGTTTAACAAAATTCTGGATCAAGTTGCTCATCACTGGTCGAAGTTTATACAGTTTATCTTTATTTCCTGTTGGTTCTTCATAGCTGTTGTTTACATGCAGGTTACTAAGGATTTCACCAAATCTATTCCTGGTCATAACAGATGAGATGTATGCTACGTTCATGGTAGTACCATTGGTAATGCATGGTAACCCATCTTCAAGTTTATTAGTATGAATCCAGTCATTTCTTCGACTGTCAATGGAGTAACTCTGCGTTGGGTTTGATTCACATACTCTGCGTTGTGTTTGATTCACATGCAAGTTTTATTCGTAACATAAATGCTGAATTAAATCAGTATCAAAGTAGTGCATAAAAATATCCCCCGGACTGCAAAATATTAAGGTTTAGGTCCTTGAGGATGATTAAAAACATCAGCTGGTGGAACTTTTTCTTTAACAGTCCAGCTTGTCACATCGGGGGGTTTAATCACTTTCACCTTAGGAAAATTTAAAATAAAAGTTCTGTAAGATTATCTTGAATATCGGTACTTTGTTGATGAAGACTAATAATAAGCGTTCTCTTCGATTGCTGACGAATATCTTGACTTCTCTCAGGATAGCGATTTTCTCTAGGATTTGAATAATTATATCTCTGGTTAGAGTGTCTTTGATCTCTATGTTTTTTTTTAGGTCTAACTTGATCTCATGTGCTTAAGTCCAGGGTGTTGTATGTCTAAAACTAGCTTGATATTCTGGTTGCATACTGTTAGTTGAGTAATTATAATTTCTCCTGGTACGATGATCTCCACCATTTGTATTCATACTGGTTGATGAAGGATCAAAATCTCTCAATTTTTGCTCAGTTTCATCGGCAACACGGGCTACAAAATCAGGATTTGTCATCAATTTAGGGTTTCTGTTAATTTCACCAATAATAACACCTTTCAAAGTTCTCTCTTTGATTCCTTGCAAAAGCCTTTCTGTAATACGTTGATTAACTTCTTCAGACTGACTAAATTGCATATTACCCTCAAAATTCATAACTTCATGAGAAAAGGCTTGATATGTAAGACTCCTTATACGATCCATGAATGTCCAATGTTTCTCATCACTCTTCATCTGCAATGTAGACAACATCTGGGCTGCATAACTCCTATCTGTGTCTGTACAAAACAATCTCATTAATTCTTTACGGAAGTCTACCCAACTGTTCCAGTCACTAATGGAAGATCTAACTAGGGACCTGGCGGGCTCAATACACTGTACAAGAAATAAACTGGGTTTAATGCTGTTATTAATTTTTCTCACTTTGCACTCCTCCTCAAAAGTTTTCAAAAAAATATACTATGGTGAAACCATCCTTGTCCAGTGAACCCGAAAATGTCTGTCCTGGCAATAAAGTCAAGGTTGCTCATGTATCCGTACTCCTGTATTAGGCCGCAAAATAGAATCAGTTGATCCATGGGCTTGGTTTTCCTCTTGAACCCTCACCACACGAGCCACTAAATCTGTCAAAGAGTTTATATTTTCTGCCAGCTGGTTAAAATTCTCATTCGCCCCGTCAGCAACTTTACTTACTTCATCCCCACTTTGTATTATCTTCTTCTCCTTTATCCATAATAATAAACTATGTATGTCTTTTAATTCTATTTAATTTTCACCAGTTTTGTTTTTTGTTGTGTAAATGAAACTCAGTGTTTATTATTCAAACCCCTGGTTAACTCCTTCAAATCATCATTATTAAGTATATAATCAATTGGTTTCTTCTTCAGAAAACTCTTGAACTATTTTACTTGCGTGGTTATTGTCATTTTTTGTTACGCGTATATCATTAGATACTTTCAACCTGGAAGTCTGGAATGATGTTCCAGGTTGATCCAGGGAGACTTCATCTTCACAATTATCGTCTTCACTTGGAACATAGTCCAAATCCTGGTCGTCTGACAGTTGCTGTGCGTCCAGAGGATCAATATCCAGTGATGATTCCGAATCTGAAGACTCGCTTTCATTATTAAAAACTATTTCAGTGACTTGATTTCTTTTCGACATCTTGGTAAGGTTCTGTAAACAAAATATATATTGAAAACTGCATTATTACTAATAACGTCAATGTTTATGATACAAATAACTATGATCTTGGCGCTCAGTGGGACTTTGTAGTCCGAGAGGTTGTGTCTAACGGGACCCTCTGTAACGAAATACCCTCTACAGGGATCAACCCTTATCCACTCTTGAAAGGGTCAGCCATATTGCCCCAAGTTGACCTGGTATTTTATATATATATATATATATATATATGTATTTTTATTTTTCACTTGAATGGTCATAAAATAAGTTGTTCATGATTAAAACTTTAATCGCCTAGATTATCCCAAGAAGGGGGGCCCTTGGAAAGAATACCTTATATTTTTATTACCTTTTATTGAACGCAGTAAGAAATTATGAACATTAACTAGTTTCGATTTTATTGTCATATTTTTGGGGATCACACCTGTCAGCATGAGGTATGGAGCCAAATGATATAAATACTCCTCATTTTGATTGGAATAGTCAGTATACACTTAAACACTGTGGTACTCATTACACAAGCTAAAGTATTAGAACACCTTTGGAACGTTAGCTTGAATACCTCTTGACTATTACTACGTTTGGCTACATACCTCGCCTCCTTTACTTTATACATATACACAACGTGAAGTAGACATGGAATATAACTAAAAGAAAAACTGTTTTACGGAGTTGTTTATTTTATTCCCTTGACATCTCTGGATGATCACAAGTATCTAAACAGGAGAGCTTTGTTATACCTCACGTTCCGTTTATAAAGCTGATTACAAAAACTAGCAAAATTCGAATATTCTCAAAATTTAGCTTTTTTTATGTCAACTGTGTTATATACTATGATATATCATAATTGGAAAATAACATCAGTATCTATCAAAATAGTACTTACTAAAAGAAAAGTCTCGGAACATTCTGTTAAAAGGGAATTCCCCAGTTTGAAAGTCAGCACAAAGTTTAGGGTCTGTTGAAGATTCCATTGTTTTTGTTCTTGTTGATGTTTATGAAGTTAATGAAAGACTGAAAGGTCTCATGCTTCTTGGTGTTGTATATAGAGTTGTCATATGTATTGGGACTTTGTAGTCCCGTCCAGTCAAAGCCCTGACACCTTAATATTATAAAAGAAACCTCTGAAATAGTTTTAGTGGGAGGAGCCAATCACGTACCTCATCATGTGCAACAGGCTCCACTCATCCTTCTAAACAATTTCTTTTCAAACTTATAGTTTAATTATAGTATTGTTAACAAATGTAATGGTCAAACGTCCATTATTGTTGCTCTACATGAATACCTGAAATTAATGCATTAGCAACCATCACACCTGGTTGTTTGCTGGTTATGTACCTTGGGTACACTCGGGCTAAGGTTCTTAGCTCTCGCCAACACTTTCAGTCGATGAAATATGAATATCCTGTTCAAGTTGAACATAAGTTCCATATATCCTCAGACTTTCTTTTCTAATCTCATAATACAGGTATTGGGATTTTCTGCCAAATTTATAAAAATGTCTTTCTTTAAATATAGTGTTTTAGTTTTCCGAAATGATGAGTTTGATCTCTAGTCGACAGCCAAATTTCGGTAGGAGTTATTAGTTTTCTGAAGAAAGCCTTATTTTATAATCAACCTGTTTATGTTCAAGTTTACCATAACGCCAACATTGGATAAGAGGTCTTGATTGTCCACGATGGGCTTCCGTACTATAAACTTGTCTATGTTTCATCGGTCGCTGACTGTGACACGCATGTGAATTATGTCCATGCCTATAGCATACATTATACCGTTTTGGTCTCACGTGATCCACCTCCATTGCTTCTGATTGGTCAACATTTTGGTTAGATCAGATCTCTATGCATGAGACTGACCTTGGTTAAGTTTGAATTTGACGATATTTCAAAAAATTGAATTTGAGTTATTGTCAAAATTTGTTGGCAGTTTATGTCCAAATTTTATAAAATTTTGTCTTTGATTAAATCTACAATATCTTGTACATATTAGATTTTTGGTACGATTTGACACAGATTTGCGACCGCCAAGAGAAGTGGTCGATCTTGCTAGGCAACCACTTGTCCATACCCTTGAGAGAATACGACATATCAATGGATATATAATAAGAATCTACTTTCCAATTAGAGGATATAACTAACTTCAATAACGTTCCTGACTTGAAAAGAAACTCCGCAATTGGTTGTCATTAAAAAAATGTGTACAAAATATGAAAATTGTTATGTCCCTTTACTTAAATATACCAATTTGTAGATACCCTTGACAAGGTAAAGCATTTATCCACTTTCTCAGATACCTGTTCTGGTCAGGATAGGAAGCAGTAAATATGCGCGCTATGCTTTATGCTTTATCGACATTTGGAAACTATCCATCTCAACATAGTTTTATGGAAGTCGATTCAATGCATTCGATGATAGAAAGATGATCAAAAAATCAGACTCTTTACAAATCAAGCGAATGGACAGTGTTAATTAGATATTCTCGTCGATCACAACGCCCTTACTATTTTGATCTCGACTATGACAGATTTTATGACTTAAAGGATTTTCCTCAAAATCTTGTTAGAAATAGAACCAAATCTGATCAAATGGTTACGGTTCAGAAAATCACATCCAAATATTAAAAAGTTCAAGTACATGATTACTAAAGAATTTGAAAATTTGATTGTAAGCAGCATAATTAAAATATTAGTTTTAAGAAAGCATATCAACGCTCTCTGCCTTTAACATCAACAAAGAAGGTGATCAGGATTCTTAAACATCTTCTTAGACATCTTTTAAGCAGCACTGTGGACTGTATCGTTTATAAATATGATTTTATTTCTGTAGTAGATTTTGAACTTTTAGAATGATTTTATTCCTGATCATTCGAGTTCATTTTCTACATAGTATTTTTGATGTTTAAATATAATAATGAAACTAATTCAATCAATTCAAACACTAATTCTTTAATAAAAATGTAATTAAATTAAAAAAAAGTTGTTGCTCATTTTAATTCCTTACACTAGCAGTCGGTGTGTAATTGACAAGTGCCTCATCAACAAGCATGTGGATATTCCTTGTCATCCTTTTAAGTTAAACTGTATATGTAATTGTTATCGAAATGTCTATTCTTTTTTTTCGTTTCGTCCACACATTCCTGTGCTTAGACTGCAGTAGTTGCAGCAACCTTTCAAATTTCATAGACCTTCTATATTGGCGACAATGTGCATAAATATAAATTGGAACATTTTTGCAAAACCGGAAGTGCCACATTTTTCATTTTTACTATCTACCTGTAATTTCTGACCTGATAACACTTGAAAACTTACGAAATTCAAAAAATTCGTAGCTCACTTTTCGATCAGATTTTTCAATTTTTTTTGCAACTCTTTTCCTTTTGCATCGATTGATCTGAAATTTTAAATGCAAAGAGACTTCACTAATGTTAATAATATGGTAAAGTCAAATTTTGTACGTCATTTCCACCTTTAAACAGGAAAGCGACTGAATATCAAATCCACTTCCGGTTCAATAACTTCCGGTGTAATTTATGTAGGTCAACGAAATTTAGCTGATCTTTAGCATATAAAATTCTATGGCCGATTTTAAAATAAAATCAAGACCGGAAGTGATACTTTGGCCGCCACTATGAAAAAACACTTTTTCATTAAACTCAAAATGAGGCCTCAGGGTAAATGTTGATATGTTAAATTTTGACGTGTATGTATTCCGTATTGCGCAATAAACATTGGGAGCCGAATTTTGAATTTCGCTTTGCTTTTTGCAACTTCCGGTTGAAATTTTTTCAAGCTTTAAACGATTGCAGCACGTGACCTTGGCCGTTGATGACCTCGACCTTACAGGGTCAAAGGTCATTGACCTTGGCTATCATTTGATACTTTGGCCTCCGACATGTACTTCCGGCTTTATAGCTGTCCGAAAAAAACAAAATTCGCAACTTTGGACTGCTGTAGCACGTGACCTAATTAACTTACAGGCTTAATTTTTTCGGTTTCCTAATGTACTTCTCATGCACTTTACATTGATATATAACAATCGTTTTTTTAAAGCAAAATTGAAATTCGTGATTTTTGAGTTTTTTTTTTACAATATTGGTGTCTCTTTGAGCTTGGTATATGTACATTTTATGACCTATTTGATGTAGAACCTTTAAATGTGGAATACAACTATACACTTTGAATATGAATTCACCTATGACAAAAAAATTATGTGGTTGTGGCAAATCCGGGTTGAATTACTAATTGTTTACATTTAGGCCAAATAAAAAAAATTAATTGGTTATCGTCCTTGCTACTAGAAAAAGGCGGGTAGGGGGGGAGGCTTTTTTTTTTTTTTTTTTTTTTTTGGGAGTCCAGTATTAAAGGAGTTGTCGGTATATATGAAATACTGCCCCATGCACGCCCTGCCCCATGCACACCCTGCTAGGGTAGAGGTGCATGGGATAGCATTTCCGTGCATGAATTCAAAACAAATTCAATTGTAATAACACTTTAATCGAAAACTTAACAATTTAATTAAAATTTTAACATATGAAACAATTAAATAAAACATTTTAACATATTTAACATTGATTAAGGTTAACTCATCATTGTGTTTTAAAGAATAAGGGCAATAACTCATTAAATATTTTTTAGATTTTTTTTTTTTTTTCAATAGGGTTCATCCTTGGGTGACAATGAATACTAACACAAAGTTTTAGTCAAAATCTGTAATAATTCATACCCGGTACTCAATATTATTCAATTTTGCTGATTTTCAATAGGGTCCATCCTTGAGTGATAAAAACCTTCCAAATTGTTCACAAACTAAATATTGAACGTGATTACGAACACTCACACCATGTTTTGTCAAATTCTGTACAGAATATTGTGTTTACCAACAATTGTCGACTGATGGAAGGACCGGCGAACATGGGCGACGACAATATATGCCCATTTCATGTTGGTGTATAAAGATTTAATAGATCACAATTGAGCTTTTTTCCGGATCAATGTGATCTAACATAGTTTATAAGGTAAAGCTAATTTCAACCAATCAAAAAGTGGCATGTAGATTGCTTTTCTAAATAAGAATCATCCATTGTGGGAGAAGGAAACTCAAAATTTGTTTGTTTGTGTTACTTTGAAAGTTGCCTTCTTCCACAATGCATAGTTCTGATTAGACATGCGATCTACGTGCCACTTTTTGATTGGTCACAGTTAGCTTTACCAAAACACACTCGCCTTGTCAGATCACACTGAGCCAAAAAAAAGAGAAACAAAAAGCGAAATTGTGACCTACTTTTATTAGTTTGGGGTATCGATTCACAGATTCTACTTTTTAGCACCACGTTTCGGAACAGTGGGTTTTTGTGTGCAGTCCTCACACTGAGGGTAATATCCCTCCTTTTGTTGAGGGTTTGAGGATGCACAATATATACAAACTGCCTCATAATTAGCTGAATAATAGGTATACTCCATCTCTGTTCTGCAATTAAGATTAGCCCTAACAAAGACATGATTGAGTACATTATTTTGATTATCACCCTCTTCATCACTATGGCACATGCCCTGAAAACTACTACCACAACTATATAAAATGGAATCAAGAACGACACCAAGTTCATCACGATCTTTTTTCTTGAGCATTCTTTTGGAATGCATACACCGCCACTTCCCACAATCCGCACACTGTATCACTGTTCCAACATTCTTAGCGGTCTGAGCTGTTGGATTAAATGGACATTTGTTACCTTTCTCAGGAGTTGCCTTGGCAGATGGTAGAAACTTTTCTGTCGTTTCAACCTGAAGTCGAAGAACAGAATAGAACATGAAAGAGTAAAAATATGGAGCAGGTACTAGTAGATCAATCAGTAGCCAGCACCACTGGATGGCAACTGTTGAAACTGCAATATTTCCATAGTTTAACCAGTCAAGATTTTGTAGTCTGATCAAGGTTTGTAATTACAGTCACACAATTTTAATAATCACTGTCAATAACTAGCAAGTGCGAGGGTAGGTATTGTATAGCTAGAGAGAGGTACTTCCAGGTGTTCCAGAAAGAGTAAGCATCACCAAACTCTGCTATACATATACATGTCTGAATCAGTTTTACCTTTCCATATAAGTCATCAAAATGCTGGTAACTTCCTGAGCCAGGTTCTGGTATCGGATCAGGCAAGTGATCAAGTTCAGCAAATATGTCTGGTGGTAGTCTAGGGGCACCGCATACATGACAGGTAGGTGTACCACATTTCTTTACACTGAAAAAATATTGACGAGTTTTGCAGTGACTTCCCAGGAAATCTTGCAGCTGCTGCTTTCTCTTGATGTGCTGCTTAGTTCGGTCAAGGAATCATCAATCTGAAATGTATAAACCAATTTAACTTCAGCAGATTGTCAATCTCTTGGATGTGATTGTGATGTAAATATGAAATAGAGTTGTACATTCTACTTTTCTGCACCTATAGGGCTATTATTCTGCTTCTCAGGCAACCTGTAGCCTGAGAACTGCTGCATTGCCATTGGAACTGGGTATCCTCGTTGTTTAAGTGTATGGTGGTTTCTGTCGATGTACCAGAGTGCATTCCCCAGTGTGTTCACAAATGTCATTCCTAGAGTAGAGCCTTTTTCCCATCCAA